AGCAATTTGATTGTAAGAATCTTATTATCAAAAGTAGTAGTTGTTGTCTGGGAATACAACCAACTTATAAACCAACTAAGCAACTAACTAACTAATCAACTAATCACTCAATCAACAAACCAACTAATTAATCAACCAACCAACTAATCAATCATCCAACCAACAAATCAATCAACCAACCAACTGACGAATAGATGATGGTGAACAGCGGTGACGAAGGAATGATGATGTTCAAAGAGTTACTCACCAAGCCTCAGTTCATCATTAACTTCATTACCACCATGGAACTTCAGAAGTCATTCACCATCAAAGACAAGTTGTTCGCCATTTTTAAAATAATTTTGTTGAAATTCTTGTGATTTTGTCATTGTACCAAGTTTGCTATAGTAGCTGAGAGAATTAGTGTATGAGTCACTCCTGACATTCGGTTTCATATGTTGATGTAATTATTGTTATATGGATGTTATTGTTATATGGATGTTATTGTAACCATCGCATTGTTATCATCATCATCCTCATCAACAATGTCATTAACATCATCATCATCACCATCATCATCACCGTAATCATCATCATCGTCGTCGTTATCATCATTATCGTCGTCGTCATCATCATCATCACCATAATCATCATCATCGTCATCATCTTTGTTATCATCATCATTATCATCATCGTTAACATCATCACCGTCATCATCATCATCAGAGTCAGGGTGGCTTCATTGCTGGTCACCATCTACCATGATAAGTTGGACTACTTGACCAGGTCGGAATCAGACACTTTAACGATGATGATGAGGATGGTGATGACGATGATGATGATAATAATAATAATAATTATAATAATAATGACACTAATTATAATAATAAAAATAATGGAAATTTTTTCATTTTGTCTAAAATAATTGTTGACACACACCAAAATGAAAATAATCTATAACGCTCGTCACAAAATTAAAATGAATGAGTGCATCAGAAAATAAAATCAGCCCAATAGAAGTAAAAATGCGAAATTACGCTGAAATGGAGTTTCTATGGCAGAGTGGCAGCGACTGGCTGGCGTACGACGACGATGTAGTCGAGTCAATCAAGCTTTTGCAAAATTGATCAGTCAAGTTAAAATCGACAAATGAATGTTTAAAATATTTAAAAGAACCCAGCGGCATAAGTTCGAACCTGTTGGCAATTATTTTCAAACGTTTCTTAAGGTCAATTAAATTTTTTTTTCGAAGGTTCCGGAGAGTTTGAGAATAATGACATTGATGATGATGATGATCATGATGATGATCATGATGAGGATCATGATTAGAATGATGATGATGATGATGTTAAAATAGTCACAATATTTTGGACAGGATATTAAAAGTGTTGCTGACGAACCTAATCAGCAGGTCAGTAGCAAGTGGCCAGCCTAAGTTGATGTTCAGGAGGTTTGTGGGAGTGGGTGAGGGGTGAGACGGAAGATTATATTGAGGGATAGAAGGTTGATGAGGGGGAATTTGATGGGGAAGGAAACGATGATGGGAGGTGTGACGAAGAGAGATGATGATGGTGGGAGAGAGGATGGTGATGATGGGAGAGTTGACGATGATGATGAAAAAGTGTTGGTGAAAAAAATGTAATGAGAAACAAGATGGCGAAGAAGATAAAGAATGAGAAAAGATGATTCTATTTTTTTGTTATTAATATTCTTTGTAGAAAAAATAAAATATAATTAATATTCATTAATTTTCCTCAATGAATAGAATTACATAACATCTTTAAACGTCCAACCACTACCACGCTAACAATTAGGACTGAATCAGTGGTTGAGAAGTTGCTGAGTTACTGGCTGTCCATCTGCCTCTACCCACACCTTAGATTGCAGGTAGGCAGCTGTATGTTCATGCTCTACAAAGCCATCAAGTATCAAGTGTACAAAGGTTGGTCTCTTGATATTGCACGCTATGTTAGGACACTCTAGTCAATTTTCATGGGATTGTTGTCGTCTTGGTTAATGTTTTTTACGTATGGGAGGAATAAAGTTTGGATTATCATCGCCATCGTCGTCATATTTTTGTCACTGCCATTCTGATTATATTCATTGTATTTGTTGTTGTAGATTCGAATGAATGAGTATGTGGTAACTTTTCCAGAAGACTCCACCAGCGGTGTTACCACAACCGTATTTGTTGATGTGATCATTTGTTGCTAGACGTTTTTACGTTCTAGACATCATTCATTTCATCGACATCACTATCACGGTTACAATCATCATCAACCGTTATCGTCATCGTTGTCATCACTACAATCATCATCATCATTGCAATCATCAGCATTATCATCATCAGCACCATCGCCACAATCGCCACCACCACCACTACCACAACAGGACCAGTGGACAGCCTGACGCATGAGGCCAGGTACTCCCTGTCCGAGGACAAGTTGTTGAGGGAGAAGGTGGAAGCATCCAATGTTGTCAGTTGTTCATTCTTTCTTTCATTGGATGGATGGATGGATGGATGGATGGATGGATGGATGGATGGATGGATGGATGGATGGATGGATGGATGGATGGATGGATGAATGGACGGACGGATGGACGGACGGACGGATGGATGGATGGATGAATGTATTGATGAATGAATGATCAATTTTTTTAGTAGATGGTAACTTATTTAATTCTGACTATTGATCAAATAACCTAACGACGTGTACAGACGGTTTACGTGGTGAGGAACGCCAGCACCCATCTCGAGCCAATCACATGCAAGCTACTAGATTGTGATACCATCAGCCAATCAAAATTGAAGATACTCGACGCTATTTATAGAAACACGCCTCATTCTCATAAACCCTCAGTTGATGACGTCGACCTTGGTTTGCAACTATTGTACTTCTATCGATGAACCAATCAATCATTATTTTATTAAGTTGCGCTATAAAAATTCATTTTTTAATTGCCCCCACAAACGACAGAATGGCTGCGTGATGAAGTGAGTAGGATAGTGATGAGGGACGATGACGTCACAGTGATGACGATGACGAAGAAGGGATGGAGGCAGGTAAATACATTGAGGCATTACAACGTGAAGGATGGCGCTTTGATGCAGCTGGTTCCCAGAGTGGCCATGATGATGGCGACCGACAACCACAAAACATTCAGCGGTCTGTGGCTGTGGTGGTCGTTGCTTTGTTGTTGTTCAGCAAACTTTGTTGTTGGCTGTTTTTTTTTTGTTGTCAATCCAATTTGATGCTAGTTGTTTTTATTGTTGTGTTTGTCATTTTGTTAACCAACTTCGTTACTACAATCTTCACTATTATCTTTTATAATGGTAATAACTTCATCTTATTTAAGTTCAGCAAATTCGTAATTTATTTATCTGGCTGAGTTGTTTCATACGAGATAGGAGTTTGTGTGAATGTTAAATTAATTGAACTGGCATCACCTATTGTAATCATTAAGACAAGGTCAGTGTTTTAAGTATGTGGCTCTGTGTGATGGTTTCTAGTAAGTCTTTCAGATTTCACATTATAATATTCTTTATTAAAGAATATTATAATGTTTCACATTATAATATTCTTAATGGCCGAACCAGATGATTCAACCACTGCTCCATGTCAAAGTACAAAATACTAATTATTATCCTATATTTTAACGTTAATAAACATACAAATGTTACACACTTCTGGTAATTAGCCTTTGAAGTAGATGTTTAAAAATCCATCTAGTAGCAAACAACTCACCATCGTCATCACCTCTCGTTATATTCAACATTTAGGTGCTCCTCATTGTCATCATCATTGTTGTCGGCGTCATCATCGCAATCCTCTTTATATTACACCAGGTTACAAAGATCAGACCAGTTCGCACAACACCATCACAAGCAACAACATCAACAATAACATCAACAACAACAACATCAGCAGCAACAACAACAACAACAACGGTACCATAGGGAACCACTTTAAACTGCCTCACTCTCTCATGTCACTCTCCAGAGATGCTGATGAGAAGGGGGAGGAAAAAGATGATGATAATGATTATAAAGTGTATCATCTCGTGAGTTTAATGGTGATTGATGGTAATGATGATGCGATGTTGAAATATAATTTGGTGGTTACATTCTCAAATGATCATGATGATAATGATAGTTCTGATACAATGATGGTGATGTTGATGTTGATGATAATCATAGTGGAATTAAGGATGATGATAAAATTGGTGATAATGATGAAATAATGTTGCTGATAAAAATGATGACAAAAATAATGTTAATGGCGGTGATGATGATGATGAGAACGATGATGATGATGATATAAATAATGGTAATGCTGATGATGATCTACATAGACAAATCCTCTACTGGATAACCAGCCAAACAACGTTCGACAAAAAGTCATGTCCGAGGTCTATCTGACTCGCCTGCTGGCTACCAAGGTTTGGTGTGGTGTGGTGGTGTGGTGTGATGTGATCTGATGTGGTGTGGTCTGGTGAGGTCTGGGGGTGTGGTGTGGTCTGGTGGTGTGGTGTGGTCTGATGTGGTGTGCATGTTAATTATTTCAAATTGGTGTTGTTTTATACTAACTTTAACTATAATTATTATAAAACACTAAATGAATTTTTTTATTTCCAACAAACACCTCCAGTGTACATTGCAGCAATATGTTGATGATTTGTTCAAATCCATTTTGTCCATCAACAACAACAACAACGACAGCAGCAGCAACAACATCAATGGCCAGGCATACAGCAGCAGAAACAACAACATTTGCAACAACAGCGTCTTATGCATTAAATGGTTGTTCGAGGTTTTCAACCAATCGGCCAAGCTACACAACGTGAACGACTCACATGCCGCCGTCTATTCGTGGAAGTGCAACAGGTTTCTTGGCTGCAGTTGTTTGGTTGCAGCTGTTTGGTTGCAGCTGTTTGGTTGCAGTTGTTTGGTTGTAGTTGTTTGGTTACAATTGTTTGGTTGCAGTTGTTTGGTTGTAGTTGTTTGATTGCAGTTGTTTGGTTGCAGCTGTTTGGTTGCAGTTGTTTGGTTGCAGTTGTTTGGTTGCAGCTGTTTGGTTGCAGTTGTTTGGTTGTAGTTGTTTGGTGGCAGTTGTTTGGTTGCACTTGTTTGGTTGCAGTTGTATGGCTGCAGTTGCTTGGTTGCAGTTGTTTGGTTGCAGTTGTTTGGTTGCAGTTGTTTGGTTGCAGTTGTTTGGTTGCAGTTGTTTGGTTGCAGTTGTTTGGTTGCAGTTGTTTGGTTGCAGTTGTTTGGTTGCAGTTGTTTGGTTGCAGTTGTTTGGTTGCAGTTGTTTGGTTGTTTCAATCAATCAATTCAATCAATCAAT